AAAATGTACTTAGTTACTTTTAATTCTTCCTGTAACAGAGGAAGTTCAGTTTCTCCTTGCAGTCCCTTCTCCCGAACGGTCTGGTGCTGTTCTTCGCCAGGGTGCCACAGAGCTTTGTCGTCGGGCAGCCTTTAATACCCTGGTACGTCACTTTTTCTCCACCCACCCACATCCACCCACCGGCCAGGAAACGCAGGCCCGTCCACACCTACCAACATTTAGCAGAGGGATGTAAACACAGAGGACGAGCTTGCTCAGTAACACAATACACTGTGGTAAAACTGTCGTACCTCTCCAGTGACAGCTTCTCGTGCTGTCTCTCGTGCAAAGTCGTGGTCATCTTGAGTGATCAGGGTGGCGAGGTCATAGCGGTGGTTTTGGTAGTCCGAGACAGGATTACTTGTGTCCAACGCCCCCATATTCCTGCAGTACTTTAGTGCTGTCTCCCACGTCCTCTTTTCCTTCACCAGAACCAGCTTCTTGTCAAAACACAAGAAACCACGTTTGTCCTCACAGGGACCACTTCGCCATTCTTTTGTTGTGCTGTACTTAAAACCACAATGATCACCTGAGTCTGGCTCTGCAAGAAGTAGGAGAAGTGAGGTAGAGACATGGTGTGCTGCAGATGAAAGCTCCAAACATCTTTTCATTCAGGCCATGATGGACGATGAATGATACACATCTCTGAAATATTTTGGTTTAGCTTCTGTCTGTTTGTTAACAGGTATCAACTGAAACCAAGCTAAGTGAATGGTTGTTCCCTGGACACACACACACAAAACTAGTTAAGCTCTCTTGGGTTTTGGTAAAGCCCTTGTGTCTACAGCATCTGATGCCAGTGTGCCAGATATGAGACGCAGGCTTTTCCCTGCTCCACTATTGTCATGTGCCAAGCCTGTTTATGCTGTACTGGCTTTTTGTAAAATACACTTGTCAATGTATTTAAATGCCTGTGTACATTAAGAGTCGACTTATTATGCATTTCATTTGTGACTGACTGTGTCTCAACATACAGTATATACAGAAAAAAATATTTATTTTGTGTAATATCTAAATTTTTGTGAAATTAAAGCACAGAACAAAGAAATAATGAAGATAGAAAAAGTCTAGATTTTCACTCATCTGGCAGCGAACACACCTGTGGCGTTCTGTCTAGAATGGAAATCAAACATTGCTCATTCCAACACTGTTGCAATGTTCCTATGAATGTGTTGCACTTGCAGGTTTCTTTGCTTTCACCTTCGATCCAGTTCATCCAAAACCAGCTCCATGGGGTTTATGTCTGGAGACTGTGCTGGTTCTCATCATGTGAAGCCTCTGTCTGGTTCTTCTACTGTTTTGGGTCAATATCTTGCTGTAGCATTAACCCCTGACCAACCAGTCTGTCTTCCTTTATTACATGTCTTTTTCTCACCAATCTGACAGCAACATACAGTCCTACTTCCTGCAGTACAATATTGCTGCTACACTGAGAAATTATTGTTGTCTGCATATGAAAGCAATCTTAAAACATCTTAAACTGCTCTCCCAAAGAAAAAAAACTGGCCTCTGTTCAGCAAAGGGCAAATCTTAATCCAAGGAGCAATGTGTTGGAAAAACCAAACTATAAAAAACATTAATTGGACATATTGTACAGAAAACAAATGAACTAAGGTATGTTGACAGTGAACATTGTGCAGATATGCTCATTACAACCAAAATACATTAGAAGCAGCATTATGTATTTTTTCAACATATACATACAAATATTGACATAGTATGATAACAATGAAGTATGATCTCCAAAATAATTTTTAAGCTACTAAAAGTCTGAAAGCCCTGACATGATTAACTCAGTGACATGCTGGCCCTGCTTACCGCCTGACACCCAGGTGATGAAGTTGGCTATCTCTCCTCCTCTGGACCATTTCCATGGACTGTTTGAGTCCTCTCGGTACAAACCGATCCAGCCGTAGATATTGAGAAAGGCCCGATTCTCTTCTTCATTTCTGATGGTGACCAGGTCAGTGTGATTCCTCCTGCAGAAGACCTGTGCTTCTGCCCAGGTCCGCTTGTAATTAAAGTAAGAGTAATGTTTAAACTTGGCAGCTCGCAGTCCTCCCACCTGCCCACACACAGAAGGAAGGAGGAGCAGCAGCGGGACAAGAATCTTCAGCATTATTCTGCCACAGGAGGGTTTACCTGCAGGTACATCAACATTGTTATAGAGCAATTATTTCATTAACAACATTTTTTTTTACTTGTTTGCTGGACTCACAGCTGCTGTGATGGTGCAGTGATTGGTGCAGGTAGTTTGATGACACTTCTCAGCAGTAGTGCAGAAATTTTACCTTTTTAATAGTTGCATACTTTATAGTAGTATTTACTACTTGTAAAACTTGTAAAACAGCTGCTTAGTGCCTGGCACTATTCGTTTTCCTAGTTTGTATAACAGCACTCACCTTGGGCAATAGCAGGAGTGAAACCAGCTTTCAATCTGATGGACAATCACAGCAATGTGCAACACCAAGCAGAGTAACCATGCCAGCTATGGTATTTATAGGTTGCAAGTCACCCATCCATCCTCTCTGTCTCTCTCTCTCTTCCTGTCTCCCCAGTCATCTGGCAAATCCCAGTGGAGTCCCAGCTCATATACAAAGCAGGGATTAGTGCCTCTTGGTGTTCAGTCCTTGTAGAAGGTGTATGCCTTACATTATGTCATGGTACTTGTTGTTAAACAAGCTATATGTTAGTTTTGCTAGCTGTCTAGTCACTTTCCAATACCGAGTCACTGTAGCATCCAGTCTGCCCTGAAGAAGAAGCTGCTCAGAGCATGTATTATAACCTCTTGTCTCAACGCAATGATGGCTGATCAGAGACGACACAGAGACAACACAGAGCTACAGATTGGGCTGAAAATTTTCTGTAGGTTCATCATGACATAAGGTGAGAGGTCACAGCACCCACACCGTAGATGAAGTAAATATTCCTGACTTTGAAACAATGGAGACTTAACAGCACTGTCAGGAACTAAATACAGGAACACGTTGTTATGCCCACAAGTTTTCCAGTTCAAGGTATTTGATGATGATGGTGCTAGAAGAAATATCAGAGAACCACCAAAGTTATAACAATTCATCCTGAGGAGAACATGACTGTCTGTAGCAAATTTAAGGGGAATCCAGCCAATGATTTTTTAAACCTTTCACTCTGTAGCAAAAGGATAAACCTGCTATATGAAAAGACAGGGGATTCAGTTCAAGAAGAGGAGATCAGCTGTTAATGTAAACCACAGACTGAAAGGATTCTGGTCACGCCAGAATTTGTTATTAAAAGGTAATACAATGTTGTGTTAAAGTGGAAGTGAACTAGAAGTTTAGAGCAGGAAGGAGTTAAGCATAAATTCACCCCCTTGAAAAATGAACACAAAACACCGCGGGAGAAAAGATTTTACGCCAAAGTCTCATTAGGATGGATATGGATCCAAAGGTCTGTATAAGTGAAAACTTATCCAGTGAAACAGCTTGACTTGCTGGAGGCGCAAGAGAAAACGTCAGGTGATCACCAATGTCATTGGATTTATCTGCTTGTTGAATGTCTGTATAAAATATCATGACAATCCATGGAGTAGTTGTTTAGATATTTCAGTCTGGTAGTTGGTAGGGCTCCCTGAAGGTAAATGAACAAATATGCACTGTTCAATTTTGACAATGTCTAGAATTTGTTTGTTTAATGCTTTTTAATTCCATTATTCTCTTGAATAATTGGAATTTGGGTTTTATGTAACATCCTTGACATATTCTGTCTTTAAAATCTACTGAATATACCTGCCAAGAAGTGTGCTGTATGCCTTCCAACCTTGAATCTTGTGCCCTAATACACCTTCATATTCAAATACATCCATGCCTGAGCCATTTGATAGACAAAACAATGTACTAATGTACTGTCATGCAAAACGGATGCCTTTGATGATGATGTCAAGTCTCTTCTTCTCCTAGGTCACCTTGTCTTGTCTCTGTGTGTGCTGCAACGTGTCTTTGAAAGCAAAATGCTAATTTACCTCTGCACATGGATGAGTACCTTTTAAACAGTTTCACTCATGGACGCAGTTTTCATTCTATTAGTTTAAGAAATTTGGCCAAATGTGATACTTTACTGGAGTATGGCATGGGGATCTGTGGAGCAAAAGAATGCTAATAGTATTAGAGTTTTTGTTGACAAGCTGGTTCAATAGCAATAAAGTCAAATCCTTCAGCCACTTCCCGACTGTCGAGTGGCTGGTCACACTAGAGAAGGTGAACAGTCTTGGCTGAGCACCCGATGAGAGCAGAACAGTTTATATTGAAGTGCCGGTCTGATTCCTTCAGGACATGGACATTCAAAGTGAAAATCCATACAGTGCAAATCTCTTTACAATGTCGCCCTCTCCAGGAAACTGAGAGTTACAGCTTGAAGTTTAGTTGAAGGCTTAGATGCATTAAAACTATGATTTTTTTTTCTTTTTATAATCCTTTAAACCAGCGGTTCTCAAACTTTTTCACATCAATGACCCAACATTTGTAACTGAAGACTACAGTACATGTTGTACATTTTTCTGAGGTTCACTATAGACATAAAAGCCTATTGCGGACGGCACACAAGAACATATCCAAATATTAACACACAAATATGCACATTTTCTCAACAAAGGTATCAGTGTGATGTTAAAAGTACTTGACAACTGGATATTACACTGCTCGGCAGCAGCTTAAACCAAAAACTACCTTAAGCTGCAGGCCTGCAGGCCAGGTGCTCCAGTAATAATAATAATAATCCAAATGTGGCCTTGTGCTCAGGTGTTGTGGAGAGTCTTTCATAAGGGCATGGATGTCCAATGAGTTCAAAATGTCAGTGTGGACATGTATCAAGGAGAGGTGAATTTGTCTCTTCTGGGTCATAGTGTTGCCGCAGCCATGTTTTCACAAGGTGGAGAAGGTCTGCTCGGATGAGGCCACAGAGATGAGCAGGCACAGACATGACTATGAGTTTTTCAGTTTCTGTGAACAGAGCTCATCTTTGTGGATGGAGCTCAGATAGACATGTTGCTTCATCTTGAACTGTGACACGAGACTCTCTGGTGACATAGTCTCGCAGTTTGAGCCGGAGGTCAGGACGGCCTGGGTCCAGCTCCTCGGGAAGGTGAAGAGGCACCAAATCAAGCGGTTTCCCTCTGCTGCCTTTTCACGCAAGAAAAACACACAACCCGACCACACTCCGCCACGTAATGAGGCCACTTATATTTAGCAAACCAACTTAGTGTAAATGCACGGCTGAAAGTTTCTTTCCCAAGTTTCATGCCAAAACGTGTGTCTATAAAACAGTAAGCTACAAAAATCAAATTTCAACTCTAAAAAAGTTACTAAGGATGTGCCTTCATTGAAATTTCAAACAGCTACAAGATAACAAAGGCTGAGCTGAGCTTAGTAGTAGGATATCATTTTTAAAATCTGATAGTAATTTCAATTCATAATCACTGATTCACACACTCCAGTACAGTAGGTGGCAGTATGCACTTTGTTTTTCTTTAGTGAAAGAAGGCTTCCGGGTCATGTCAGAGAGTACTTCCGACCATCGCTCCCGAGCAGCTGATTATCCAAACAAATCATGGCAGAGAAAGGAGCAGAAGGATCCGCTAAACGGGTGCTAACAGCGGCAGAGAATAACCTCCTCCGCCGCCCACAGGAGCTCGACTACTGGAGGAAAAACGCAGCGCGGCTCCGCAGGCGGAACCTGCTGACCGGCCTGACTATCGGGGCGTTTGTGGTCGGAATGTGTATCCTTCACAGCCTGGTCACATAGATGTCATAAGCTGTTACACAAACAAAATTAAGGAGTTTCAAAGGTACAAGAATTTTTTTTTTTTTTTTTTTTTTTTTTTTTTAAATATCTTTAAAACTAAAATAAAGTGTGAGCTACTTAAACAAACAGAGAAGACTCTGCTGAACTCCAAGCTGCAGATATATACATGAATCTGAATCAACACTTAACATGATCGTATTGTTTACCATAAGATGTAATGGGGGTTGACAAAAAAATAAAGAGCACGCCGGTTTGAACACTGTGAGATAGAGCTTAAATGATATGTCATATTTTAAAATGTATAGCCTAAATCTGCAAACACAAGTTACCAATGTCAGCGTTAATATTAACATGTTTGAAACACTGCCAAGCAATGATGTCATTAACACTGTAAATTGTAACTGTGGTTACATTAACTAACATGAAGTAAACTATGTCGTGGTATCGCCTACACTACGTTTGGATATCCAAAATTTAATATCTAAATACAGTGGATGAGTTCATTACTGGTTTTGGTCTTTTCATGTGATTTGTTGACAGTAAGAGAAGTAAAGAATATTACCGGAGTTATCCTTTAAAACTTAAACTATGAGGAGACGACAACTGCTTACTTACAAAGGCTATTAAAAAGTAATAATAATAACAATAATAATAATAAATCAAATTTAATATTAATACATAAAATGGTCTTGGCCATGTCTACAATGAAGTGTCCTTATTTTTGTCTGCAGGAGATTTGGATCCTCTTTGGTTTCAGGCAAGAGTTGAATTTGTTCGCTGTGTCTCCTGCCTTACTAAACACTATTTCATATAAATGTGTTGTGAGAGTCATAAATATCGCTGTGGTTTATCCTGAACACTTGCTACCGGGGTGGAGCTTAAACTACTCATCAAATGTTGTATGTACTTCGTTTTCCCCCTATTTTCATTTGTTTTTAAGGAGAGCTTTGAGTTCATAGTCCAAGAATGAAATTTAAAAAAAATAAAATTAATTTACACAATCAACAAGGTGAGAGGGTAATTGTTAAATGTTGTCATGTTTTCCTTTAACGTGTAGCTGTCCAGTTAGCTACACCATCCTGTCCGTCAAACAGGAGAAAATCATGGAGGAGCTGGATGATGAAGCCAGGATCCAAGTCTACAGAGGGCCACGGACCGGCGCCAACTCCTGAACTGCCCTGTGGCCCCTTACCACATGGGGAGTGGGGGCCCTTATGTGTGACATCAGACCGTATGTGGACATCACACTGAGTGGCATGTGATGGGTCATGTCGGCTGAGCTTCTCATACTTAAGACACTTGCCACTGTAATTCATAAAAGGACATTACAGATGTTTTGATTGTTTGTTTGCTGTTTGGAAATACAACAGATCTACAGTTGA